AATTACCACGTTGCAAGTCAGTCGCATGGCTGCGAGTTGCCGCTTTCCTGAGGCAGGGAGGGCTTTCCATGGACTTGAGGAAGGCGAGGGGTGTTCGTCGAGGTTTCCTTGGTCCAGACATCCCGGGTGGAGTGTCCGGATCCCGGGGGGAGTGTCCTGATCCCACTCCTGATGCCGGGTGGCGTGTCCTGATCCCACTCCTGATGCCGGGGGGAGTGTCCTGATCCCACTCCTGATGCCGGGGGGAGTGTCCTGATCCCACTCCTGATGCCGGGGGGAGTGTCCTGATCCCACTCCTGATGCCGGGGGGAGTGTCCTGATCCCACTCCTGATGCCGGGGGGAGTGTCCTGATCCCACTCCTGATGCCGGGGGGAGTGTCCTGATCCCACTCCTGATGCCGGGGGGAGTGTCCTGATCCCACTCCTGATGCCGGGGGGAGTGTCCTGATCCCACTCCTGATGCCGGGGGGAGTGTCCTGATCCCACTCCTGATCCCGGGGGGAGTGTCCTGATCCCACTCCTGATGCCGGGGGGAGTGTCCTGATCCCACTCCTGATCCCGGGGGGAGTGTCCTGATCCCACTCCTGATGCCGGGGGGAGTGTCCTGATCCCACTCCTGATCCCGGGGGGAGTGTCCTGATCCCACTCCTGATGCCGGGGGGAGTGTCCTGATCCCACTCCTGATCCCGGGGGGAGTGTCCTGATCCCACTCCTGATGCCGGGGGGAGTGTCCTGATCCCACTCCTGATCCCGGGGGGAGTGTCCTGATCCCACTCCTGATGCCGGGGGGAGTGTCCTGATCCCACTCCTGATCCCGGGGGGAGTGTCCTGATCCCACTCCTGATGCCGGGGGGAGTGTCCTGATCCCACTCCTGATCCCGGGGGGAGTGTCCTGATCCCACTCCTGATGCCGGGGGGAGTGTCCTGATCCCACTCCTGATCCCGGGGGGAGTGTCCTGATCCCACTCCTGATGCCGGGGGGAGTGTCCTGATCCCACTCCTGATCCCGGGGGGAGTGTCCTGATCCCACTCCTGATGCCGGGGGGAGTGGACCCCCCGGCCCGGCCCGGTGCGGAGCGGGCAGCCCGGCCCCCCGGCCCCGCACCTGCAGCTCCGCACACCTTTTCCCTTGGTATCAAATCATCCGTCAGGCGTCGCGACAGAGAAATGCCTGTGAGGAGCGGGGCGGGGGGGCCGCGGAGGGGGCTGCGGGTGCGACGTGCGCGGATCCTTTGTGTAATTCCGTCCCCGGGAAAAGTGTCTTTTCGCAAGAGGTGTCGTTAATGCGTTTCTCGTCGGTTTTCTTTCCCACCAACCATTTTTCAAGCGCGAAGGGAAACTGCAGAGCTTCACTCACCAGTTTTCGGTCCACTCGTGCAAGCAAAAGTACTTAAATGCTTTCGAATGTGCAGCATATGATCTTCCCAGAGCAGCACCTATGGATGCGTTTTACCCTCCTCTTGGTATCACCTCTAATTGCTGGGTACAAGTTTTAGGATAAATTGCAGACACAGGTTAGTTAGTTCAGTAGTAATTCATTGCTCTCACTCCTTATCAGAGTCCTCGTTCTTTCTGATCACACCTAACGCCTCAAGAAAACATCAAGTTCATTTGGAAAACTTTTTGCAACGATCCTTTTACCTTTTGATTGCACAAACCCAGTTCTTTGTTGCCCCAGAGAACACTCTTCCAGTGAATGAGGTTGAGTTCCCCGGTGATGTCATTTGTGCTGAAGCAACAGTGATGACTTTGTGAGGGGATAAATCCTGGACGTGTCAGGCTCCATGGTTTGGTGTGTGTGCTGTAGAAACTTCGACTGATTCAGCAGCAGACTGAGAAAATTCTATGTTGCCTGCTACGTAGGCAGGAAGGGAATATAGTGATGAGAGTTGCTTTTTCTTTCAACACATGTCTCTCTGATCAGGTGTTTTTCCACCTAAAGAATTTGGACTTGTTAAAAAGAGTCTGTTCATTTCAGTAAATACAGGAAGCAGTGGGGAAAGAGACTGTTGAATCATATCACAGATACTAGAGGTACAGAGAGCAAGTTATCCAAGCTGGCAGCCTGGGGAGTGAAGGATGCAGGGGAGTGTACAGGTGGGTCTGGTGTTCTGGAAAGCCAGTCCAGAGGGTCAGAAAACTGGAGAAAAAAACCAGCAGCAACGGAAAGCAAGCAGCAGGAAAATAACTGATGGGTAATTTTTAGCAGTGGAAGGTTTGGATCAAAATCAAGTAAAGAGTCAGAACAAACAGAGGGTAAGATTTGCAATGAAAGCTAAGCTTTTGGGGGAAAATGCTTTATAAAAGAAAGACTTTTTATTTTTTAAATGGTATTTACACTGTGCAGTAGGGTAGGATTTCTGAGGAGAAGAAATCTGAGATTAACCCTTCACTGAGGGAGCTACAGGTTAAGCCGGAGCTGGAAGATGAGTTGGTGAATAGCCTGTAATTCACAAGCATCACTTCAAATATTTTCAGTATTTCTGAACTATTTTAAGAAGCCATATTGAGTTCAAGCCCAGCCAGCCTGATAGTCTAGAGAGAGGAAGGATGCATATTGCTGGAACAGAAATTAAGCAAAAATAGATAAATCTGACATAATGGATGACAAGGGAAAGATGATTGCTGAAAGATGCTGGCATGCTCTCTGTTCCTTCACGCTTGGCGTGTGTTTTGTTATGTTACATGGCTTTTGAAGTGTAGAAAAAATGAAAGAAAAAAATCCCATTTTGTTCTGAGATAAAAGAAAAGGCAGGTGCTTAAATTGTGTTAAGGATCAGCTTTGATAGTGACATTAAATAGTGACCTTAGTTGCAGTTACCCGTCTGTCATTTTGTGAACTTCTCAATCGAATAAATAATGTGCTTAGCACCAAATAAATACCCTTTAATAAGATGGTATTTTTGATCCCACTTTCACTTCACATTGCAAACAGATTCACACTTTTTCAGCTCGAGCACAGCCTGGGGTGCTGTTTCTGTTAATAGCATTGAGAAGATGTTGGAGCATGTCCACATAGTACTGTTTTTTCTCCAAATGTGAAATGAAGGAATCCTTCCATTCTCTGCAACTTGGATATTTGCCTTCGTTTCAGTTTTAATTGTATTTGTTTCAAGTTGTCTTCTGATAGGTAAGGTTTTATATTTACGTTTGCTTCTGGGAACTGTTACCAGCTTGAGAGGCTAAGGAAGGATTTTCTTGAGGACTGAAGCTTCTGTGTTTCCCAGAGCCACCAGCTGCTTGTGTCCTCAGCTTGTGTCCTCACCTGCACTTGCTGAAATACCTGAGCATGGGATAGAAACACTGATTGGTGTTTCCTCCCCAGTCCAGTACTTTTTCATTTCACTTTAGTTTGTCTGTTCATCTTTATTCTTCAGTTTTGCCCCAACTGCCCCCACCCCAGAGCTTCCCTTGCTGAAATGTTCCATGTCCTATACATCAGTGGCTCCCTCCTCTTCATTGCCCTGACACTGAGGGGACTTACTGATGGATGCAGATGGGAGATGAAGTCATATCCATTCTGTATTTCTCTAAAGCTT